AAGATATTCATGATTGGATTTCAGTCATACAAAGTTCCAATACCCACCCCTCTCCCAGGGTACATTCCCCACCACCAATATCCCCAGTTTCTCTCCTGTAGCCATCCTCCACCCAACTATGCATCCATGCAGGCATATCTCTCTCTCTCTCTCTCTCTCTCTCTTTCTCTCTCTCCTCTCTCCTCTCCTCTCCTCTCCTTTTGACCGTTAAGGTTTACAATACAGGTACTGAAAGGTCACCATGTTTGTTTCTTTACTTTTCTTCTTAAGCCTTCACTGGTTCTCTATTACCCTTTCTTTCTCTCTTTCTTTCTCTCTCTCTTTCTTTCTCTCTTTCTTTCTCTTTAATTTTGGTTTGGGGACCACATACTCAGGGGCTACTCATGGTTCTGCACTCAGGAATTACTCCTGGCGATGCTCAGGGGACCCTATGGGATGTTGGGATCAAACCTGGGTCAGACGTGTGCAAGGCAAGCATTCTACCCACTGTATTATCTCTCTGGCTCTCTATTACACATTCTTTATCTTCATATCAAAGGCCCTTGACAATCTTATCTCCACCAACTAGAACTTCTCCACACTTGCCACATCACCACCTACATAACTTCTGTTCCAATAAAGCTGACATACGTGGCACTCCTAAATATATGTTACTGATCCAAACCTCTACCTTTGCTTATTCTGTTCAGTAAAGCAGCTTTTTGCTTGCTTGCTTGGGGGTTGCTTGGCGGGCACATCCTATGGTTCTCAGGGGCTACTACCAGCACAGTGCCTGAGGGCCACTCTCAGCAGTGCTCAGGAGACCATGAAATGCTAAGGATCAAATCTGGGCATAATGTATGCAAAATATAGGTACTAATTCTTTGAGTTATCACCCCAGCACCCTAAGAAGCCTTTGTAAACTAATATTCAGCTCAAATCTCTTCTCTAAGAGCTTTTTTAGATTGCTTAGATATACCTGATGTCTCCCACTTTTATATCTTCAATACATTTTAACACCTCTTAATACTCATTTTTATGGCATGGGTCTTTTTCCCATATCTTCATCCATCATATCATGAATTTATTAAAGGAAAGAAATGGAATTATCTTATACCAAGCATGTGGCATGGTGATATAATATGGAATGTTCTCATGAATGCATATCATCATCCTGGGAATCAGGAATCTAAGACATATATAGACCACTGTTCTTCATTCACCAGTCCACGGATCAGTGTCATTTGGGGGTGCAGAAAGGTTGAAAAACACCGGTGTATTGCCTGGTTATAACTGCTTTTCCATGGACTGACATTCAGGACAGGTGCCAACCAGTAGGTGTAAAAAAGGTTGAGAAATGCTGAAATACATTAATTGCTCAAAATCTGCTAAATGAAAACACTATGTTCTTTCCACCTGCCCAAAGTCAGAGAAATGCTAAGATACCTTTGGCTTCTAAATTGTTAGTGAGTCCACAATCAACTGTCAAAGAACTTGCACAGTAATTCTTCCCTTTTTTACCTTCTAGCCTCTGTTTTAGCTCTGTCTCCCAGAGATGTCATAACAAAGGAGTGTATGAATTAAACAACAGAAATTTAATTCTCTACAGATCCAGAGGTCAGAATTCAGAGACCAAGTATTACCAGGGTTGCCTTTTTCTGAGACCTCTCTCCTTGGCTGGTAGATGCCATAGAGTTGTTCACATCCTCCCTCTAATGATTCTATGTTCAAATTTCCTCTTCTTGCAGACACCTTGAAATCATTAAAATGAGGTTACCTTAAGACCTAATTTTAAGTTAATTATCCCTTTAAAAATCTTATCTTCAAATATAGGCACATCCTGAGGTACTGGAGATTAAGACTTCAATAAGCAAATTTTAGGGGACATTAGCATCCTGCTACTAGATGTCAAAAGGAAGTAGATATTGCTTAGTTTTCTTTCTTAATATCCACTGTGTCTGGCAGAGAACCTGGAACACAGAAGGTTCTCAAAAAATTAAATGTGGGCTATATAAGCAAAGAGCCTTTCTAGTATAGTTCAAATCTGTGAATTCTGACCCTTTCCAAATCTAGTGACTGCACCAAGAACAAAATGGCTTTATGCTTTCCCTGAAAGAAAGCTTGATGCTAACAAAGCCAACTTTAGGAAGCCAAGAACCCAGGGAAAATTAAAACCATTAGTAAGACTTAGACACCCAAAGCCAACTGACAACACACTCCTCCCTCCAGGTCCATTCTCATATATATACCCAGACTAACAACATGACACACAGCAAGAGTCATATTGAAAAGCAAGAGCAAACTGCCACTATTGTGCCATAAGAGCAAAGTGTAAAGTTCTAAGCCAATCCTTTCTATTGATAGGAATCGAAACTGACAGAGTCAGATAATGATGACTGAGTGTAAAGTTCCATTGCAAATGAAGAATCAATACATCACGAAAATGTTAGAGAACACGAGAAAAGACAGAGCAAACGAGAATTTTAGGACCAAGAACATTGGAGAAAACCTTATCCTCCTACCCCCACCCCCAAGCACCTTCTGGTATCATATATTCCCTTTCCTGGAAAAGGGCTAAGCTCTGGGATGAAGCCAGAGGATGAGGAACAAACTTACACTGCAGCAGATATAAATTTGGTTGAGTTAAGCTGCCATAGAAACCCTAGGAAACAAATTCTATCATCTCTCCTAAAACAGTTTCCACATACCTTAAACCCCAGCCCCACCAGAATCTAAGATGCTGACATAATATAGTCCTGCTAGGAAAAACTTACCAATGCTTATCTCAAATGTATCTATGAGATTCATGAGACCACAAAGCAGGTTTTATAATAGTGAGGTACATTAACTGTGACATATACCCATCATCTACACATCTCTCAGATACTAAACGGAGAAAACCCTAATCTCACAGCACTGGTAACTAAACATAATGATCTTCGTAAATGACTTCAACAATTACTAACCTAGCATCTACAACTTTACAAAAACACAGAAACCACAATATTTAGATTCAGACAACAGGAGAAAATGAAAGCAGATTAACTGTTGCAAACAGATTATACAGTGGAAATAAATTATATTTATATATAAACATAGAACAAAATTACACTTCCTGTGTTGTACTAAGAGCATGTATTTGACTTACAAGAAGAATAAATCAAATATAAATACTTATTTCAAGCTTTCTACTACCTATTGGCTCATCTGCATGATACCTAGGGAGTTGTATCATGTTATTAGCATCTAAGTAACAATGTTACTTCTAAAGAAGGTGCTGCATAGAAATGTAAACACTCCCCCTTCCTCCCTGCAATGTGAATGCTGGTACTGGTGGGTATCACACAGAACCCTGATATTTATGGCTCCTAGAATGCTTCCTTCAAAGAGCAGCACTATCATAAGCATCTATTCCTTTTACTTAGAACTACATATTATAATTCTGTATTTCTACTAAATTACTCTGAATCACTCAGAAGCAGAGACAATTTTCCAATTTCATTTAGGCTAAGGTCTGCCACTTACTTGCTAAGGGACAGAACATAATTTCTTTACCCACTGAATTCTGCCATTATTTTCATTAACTACCCTGAGAAAATAACCATGAGACACTAATTGTAAGAAATCCTATTTGGAAGGCCAGGAATCATGGGCTCATATGTAAGGACCCAAGTTCAATCTCCAGTACCATAGACCAATCCCAACATGAAACTCTGCCAACTCTGGTAGCCCTGAAGACCCCCAAGTACTGTCCAGTGTGGCCCTGGTTGCCCTAAGCACTGATGGCCTTAGCAGTATCTAGGTCTGAGCACTGAACCATCCAGCCCCGTTGGTTGAAAATCACTGGGAACAGTGCCTAAACCTTCTGATTACCACACCCCAAAAAAAGATCCTACTTTTTTAATGCGCATAACTATATCCAGGTACCTATGCAACCCTTCAACATCACAACACCATCTATAATAATGAAAGGAGGGAATTTTGAAAAAAGAACCTTAGTCATTATGACAGCAGGTAAGAGCACAGAACCAGAAGAAAGTTAGAACACAGCCAGATATAGCTCAAACCCCAAACAAATAGAAAAGTTTTAAAAAATTCTATTTTCTTTCTTTTTTTTTTTTTTTGCTTTTTGGGTCACACCCAGCATTGCACAGGGGTTACTCCTGGCTCGTGCACTCAAAAATTACTCCTGGCAGTGATCGGGGGACCATATGGGATGCTGGGAATCAAACCTGGGTCGGCCATGTGCAAGGCAAATGCTCTACCTGCTGTGCTATTGCTCCAGCCCCCCAAATTCTATTTTCTGTGAGCAAAACAAAGGTTGGTTGGGGCCTCGATGAGTAGGGGCAATCTGGATTGACTCTGCTGAAGACATTTTAATGTCAATGAACATTAGGCTATTGTCTGACTTATTAAAGCTATGCTGGTTACTGAGAGAGATACTGGCACATTTTCCTATAGATGAGAAGACCCTGAAGGTTTGAGCAACAGTTGGAACACAGCTGCTATGGCCAAAAACCAAGCAAGTACAGATGTCAGACCAAAGGAGAAGTAATTTCACACCGTCCTATGCTGCCAAATTCAAAATGCTGATAGAGGAAAAGTATTGAAGGAAGTCTTTTAAATGGATTAGATAACTATTTTAAATACCAATTCTGTGTGTAACTAAGGCTTTTCTGTTGAAGTTTCTGAAAGACTGTTATTACAGTTTTAGAAAGCTCAATCAAAATCGTTCAGCTCAATAAGATAAATGCAAGACAATGTGCTGTTCTTGGAGTTTGGAACAACCACATCAAAGTCACATCAGATGTTGTAATTCCAAGTGTCTTTTTTTGGAAAATGTTCTTCTAGGCAATTTTTTTCTCCTTTGATAATTGTTTTCCTAATGTGTATGATGTCTTATCATTTTCTGCATTCTTAACTGATAGACTAAAAGCACATGGCACTACATCACAGTGCCGATTTCCCTCAGAAAGATAAGTCCCAGAAGAACATTTCACATACACATAAGATCAACTTACCAAATGCCTTCCGAGGTTCTATTAACTTCAGGTTGAAGATTTCTTCTTTTTTTAATTGCTTTAACTTCTTAGCAACATCATAATGACGCAATCCAACAGTACTTTCTCCATTTATGGACTCAATGTGATCCCCCACACAGATTGTTTTAACTGAATCAATGAGACCACCCTCTTTAATTCTCTGAAAGAAAAGGAAAATACACAATATAAAACTGTGAAACATGACTTTTCTGGCTCTTACAACATCGTGTACAATGTATTGACATACAACAAAGTAATTTAATGATTGAAGATGAAAGGTCAGCAACAACAACAGAAATACAATGGTCTTACTCCACTGAGAACTTTTCCTGACATCTTTCAAATTATGCCCTCAAGACGGGGTAAGGGGGCTGGATCGATACACAGCGGGTAAGGCATTTGCCTTGCACATGCCAACCCGGGTTCGATTCCCAGCATCCCACATGGTCCCCTGAGCACCACCAGGAGTGATTCCTGAGTGCAAAGCCAGGAGTAACACCTGAGCATTGCTGGGGATGACCCAAAAAGAAAAAAAAAAAGACTGTGTAAGGTGCCCAACTCATGTTCCCATAAGTGTGTGTTGATCTCCATGCTGAGCTCTAAGCCAAGTACTTTACATTTACCATCTCACTTAATTCTAATAGCGTCTATAAAAGTCTCAAGTCGAAAGAAAATTAAGACTTGAAAATATCAAGTAATTCACCTAGTTCAACATGCAATGGTTCATTTACTTCTCAGTCTCCTTTAAGACCCTTAGGTTCAGAGATTATCTTATTTACCACTATATACCCTATGCTTTGCATGATAGATACCTACAGAGAAAAGTGCCCCCAGAAGAGGCCAAAGAAACATACAGCAGGAAGAATCTTTGACTTGTAATCGGCCAACCCAGACACCCTGACACCCTATATGGTACCCTGAGCACTACCAGTAGTATTCTGTGAGTGCAGAGCCAGCAGTCAGCCCTGAACAGTGCTGGATATGGAAAAAGAAAGAAAGAAAGAAAGAAAGAAAGAAAGAAAGAAAGAAAGAAAGAAAGAAAGAAAGAAAGAAAGGAAGGCAGGCAGGCGGGAGGAGAGAGGAAAAGAAAGAAAGAAAGAAAGAAAGAAAGAAAGAAAGAAAGAAAGAAAGAAAGAAAGAAAGAAAGAAGATTAAGTAAAAAACAAGAATGTAATAAAGCTGTAATAAAGCAAAAACATTAAATATTCCCTCAACTACATTTTTAATTTGCTATAATATAAAAATTCTAACTGACTTTTTCCTTAGTTTTTATTCTAACTCATCTTTTATTATCTATTGGACCTTTTTGCTTTGACAACATCAAGTTATAGTGCCTACCACATTTTAGCTTTAAGACTTTTTATTACAATTTTATTAAAATAAACATGAGGCAGGGGATATAGCTCAAGGATTTAGAAAACATGACTAGCAATAAGGCCCTGGGTTCAATCCCTGGCACTGCATAGCCTCCTACACACACACTGCCAGATGTAGTCTTGGAGACCCATGAATGCCATGGGTGAGACCCCTCTAAAATCAGAAACTACATAAAGAAACATAGTAAAGGGGCCGGAGTGATAGTACAGCAGTGGGGCATTTGCTTTGCACGGGTCTTACCCAGGTTTGATCCCAACATCTCATATGGTCCCCCAAGCACCACCAGGAGTAATTCCTGAGCGCAGAGCCAGAAATAACCCCTGAACATCACTGGGTGTGACCCAAAAAGCAAAATAATAAAAAACCAATGGATAATTGTAACATCCCTTGAGAACAGGACTCCAGAGCAGAGTTTGCCAAGTAGGTAACGGTGGGGGAACTGGAAGCAAATCTAGAAATCTGGGACAATGTTAGAGGGACACTGGCACTCTGGTGGTGGACTATGGTATTGGCACACTGTATGCCTGAAACACTGCTATTAACAACATTGAATATCACAGCGTCCAAATAAAAAAATTGCAAAAAAAAATAAAGTTTAAAGACTATAAAGATATGTATGTATCTTACCATGAATTAAAAGGTCCAAATAACAAAAGTCAGATCACCTGGCCCTGCGAGTTGCCATGGAGCTCACAGCAGAATGCCACACAGAGGAAAGAAATGCACCAGAAGTTGGAGCAGGCAGCAAAGTTAGAGTCCAGGTGGGCAAGAGAAAAGTCAAAGCATAAGTCATTATCAAGGGCAGTAGCAGATAAGGATCTAGGATGAAGAGACAGAAAAATCAATATAGAAAACTTGGAGAAAAGCACCACCTTCTGTATCTGAAGGTGAATCAGATATAGCAGCACATTGGGTGGTATTGATTATATGCTCTGCGGGTCATCCTGTTAACTTCCTGAGTAAGATAAAGATGATGGGGCACTTGAGCAAAGTTTTTGAAAGCAACACAGTTTTGATAACCATACCATAACTTGATAGAGATTAATAAAATTGCTAGACATGCTCAAGGGCATAAAGGACTAAAAAGAAAAAAGTATGAGGCCTTAATTTTACACTTAAATTTGCTGAGTCACTTAATGCCATTAAGTAACTTAATACCATAATACCATTCGAATTCTTAGAACTTTCATCTGGCTTTGGTATAACAAATGGCAAAGAAGATTTATGAAATATTTTTGGGACGGGGATGGCAAGATATTACAGTGGTTAAGGTGCTTGTCTTGCACACGGCTGACCCAAGTTTGATCCCCAGCACCCCATGTGATTCTCCCAAGCACTGCTAGGAGTGATCCCTGAGTGCAGACACAGGAGTAAGCTCTCAGAACTGCCAGTGTGGCCCAAAAAAGCAAAAATAAATATTGGAAGGAGACAGAATTTCCATTAGCCATAGAGGTTCCCCATCTCATATATTTCTAAAACTGTCTTCTAATTCACAGAGTCCAACAGAATTTTTGGGTGACCTCCAACCTCCTCCAAGTCTTAAGCAATAGAGTCAAAGCTGTTTGAGCTGAATGCTTTTTTGCAATGGTTAGCACCTTTAGCCTCTGTGCATCTGATCCTCCAAAACATCGTCCTAATGTTCCTATGTTCCTATCCTAATAGCAAACAGTTTTATTTAGTCCTCACTATAACCTCATTCCATTAATGAATGAGAAAATCAAGCCACAGTTTATGATATGGCTTGACTAAAATAATACAACCAAATACACAATAGAACTCAGTTCTATTAAATCAAGATTTTACCAACAAATACTGTATGACCTTAATTATGAGAGGATCTAAAATATTTACCATCTAGGAGCCAGAGAGATAGCTTAAAAGACTGAGCAAATGGTTTGCATGCAGGAAGTTCAGGTTCAATCCCCTGTACTATAAAGCCCCCAAACAATGCCAGGCATGCTCTAAAAATAAATACCTTTTTTTAAATGTATACATGGGGCTGATCAATAAAACAATTGGTAGGGCACTTGCCTTGCACACACCCAAACTACGTTTAATTCCCAGCATCCCATATGGTCCTCTGAGCACTGCCAGGAGTAATTCCTGAGTGCAGAGCCAGGAGTAACCACTAAGAATATACATTTACATACATATATGTATATATATATATCATCTATCTCTTTATAGAAAATGTTTACCAATTTAAGTCTTAAATGATTCAAACTATTCTAGAAATTTAAAGATTTTTAAAATATATTCAAAATTTTCATATTTTTATTGTTATTGTCCATATACTCTTGTTCCAAGAAATATTGAGACTTAGGTACTAAAATTATGAGTGCTTTCATGAATGATTATGCCTGCTGTAAAAAATAGCTTGACCTGAAGAGAATTAGGAAGTACTATTGAATACATTTCTCTGCCATTGTTCTCACCTTCTAACTATGCAATGATATAATTCTGCTATTTTTATAAAAAGCATTAGCTATCAAACACGTAATATCTGTCCTTATTTAGATCCAAGTAGATGATCTATTTGATAGGATTCAGAGGAGTTTAATGACTTGTCCATGGTGATATGCAAGCAAACAGCTGTTTGACCATGAGTGAAAGGCTGTCTGATTCTGCAGACCATGTTCCCATGCTTCACAGTGCACTGCCTTTATAAACATGGAATTCTGCCTCCTTACCACTGTCTGAATCCCTACTATACCATTCTCCTTCTTCGGATCACTGCTGAGAGTAAATAAACACTTAAATCAGCAGCACAGGCACTAAAACCGAAACCATATAGAACAGATTAACACGGTCCCTGTGTAAGGGTAACAGACAAACTCTTGAAACGTTTCACTTTTTATTCTGCTTATCTTGGCAAAAAGAAAGACTAGAAGGGTAGGCCAAAATTGATTAAATTGATTATGTCTAAAGAGTGGGAGAAATGAGTAATGGAATAGAAGGAATACAGGAATGAGTAATGGTGCTGATATAATAATAAGTGATGTTTGATATAACTGATTTTTGAGTCAGTTTAATATTTTTCATGTTCAGAAAATAAAATTAAATCAACCAAAATTAAGAGGCAAAACTCAAACTCTATTCAAAGAGAAGCCACTGAATTCAATATTTCAAATAAATAACAATTGCCTACAGGCCAGAGGTCAGAAAAGAACTTATATTTAAGTCACTTCAGGATATAATACTTTGATTTTATATATATGTATATATAAACTTAAAGACAAAGGCACACACAAATATTAAACTCTTCATATTCTTATTTTACACTGTAGTATAGATGTGGCGATTCTGAAATGATTCTGTATATATTTTATAAACAAATCAATAAATAGTTCAATAATTTTAAAAGCAAACATTTTAACTGAAAAATCAGCATGGACCCTTAGGACTATTTCCAAATAATTAAGCAAGAAAATTAATTCTGGGAATGGATTATAAACCATTAAATAAAATAGAAAATCATAAGGTAAGTAAACAAATGGACTTTTTTGATGATTCAAATGTTGTAATAAAGAATCCCCACTTTGCAATCCTTAGAGTAAAATTGGATTCAGATAAGACTAAACAGAATCAACAGATGCCAAGTCTTTGTGGTACAAGAAAACAGGTTATTTTCATAATCAAAGTATCTACTCAAAAAGTATTACAAAATAAAATAAAACTTTGAAGTTACAAGTCAATTACTGGCAGATAACACCTTAGATATGTGATGTTAATTAACCTCATAAGTTATCATAACATCAAAAATTAACATCATAAATAATAAGACAAGTTAACAGTGCACCTTCTGATGTGGTATATACTACTAAGACACAATATTCTTTACCTAATTTTCTTGTACAAGATACATGTCAGCATAAAGAAACAAAATTCTAACATCTATAATGGCTGAGAAACTATATTCTAGAATAAAGACAATTGAAAGGATATCATTAGTAGGTAAAATGCATAATCTTGGCATGGATCTATACCAGAAAAAAAATATGCCATACCAAACATTAGAATATTCAACATAAATGCAATATGAACTGTAAATTAGCTTAAAGTACTGTATCAATAATAAAAAAATCTGAATTTTATAACTGTACTATAAGTAAATATCTACATTCTTGCAGCTACATTCTGAAGCATTAAAGGGTAAATACTTTAATTTATTTAGTATTTAAAGTATTTATGCAATATATATGCATATATGCACATATGTGTCTATATATGCAACTCACTCTTTCAAATAGTTCAGAAAAATTACATATACCAGAAGTATAAGCAAGAACAATAAAGCAAATGTAGCAAGTTGGAAAACTTGGAGATTTGGATTATAGGGTATTTTGGAATTTTTTTTTGGGTATTGTTACCTTTTCAGTAAATCTTCACTATCTCCCCATTTTTTAAAAGTAGCATTAACTGTGTTCACAGCATAATAATTCTTATTTAAATTTGAATTACATGTCGGCAGTTTAATTTATGTTCCACTTTCTCTTTGTCACCAGGCAGTCTCCGAAGGCTAGTGGCTAGCATTCAGAGACAGGCACATTATAATAAAAAGCATTTCTTTTTTAAAAAATAAATAAATAAATAACAAAGGGAATATGAAAGGAAGGAAGGAAAGAAAGAAAGAAAGAAAGAAAGAAAGAAAGAAAGAAATTGAGGGAAGAAGGAAGGAAGGAAAAAAGAACACAAGTTTTGAATATCAGCAACTATGATCTAAAAACTCCACATACGATTTGCCAAACTTCCAAGCCCTTCCCTGCTGACATTAGAAGGGCATTGCTACATGTACTTCATGTCCTGAGCTTCCCCCAGATAATACCACATGACTTTCCCAACTCACGGATTTTCCATTTGGTCACCCACTCAATCTTCAGCACAGTCATATCTTTTGCAGAGCTAAAAATAGCCATTCTATCAAGTGGGAAGTTAAATAAAGTACAATTTACAGTGACGAAGATAACGTCCCTAAGACCATTTTCTAAATCACAAAGTGTTAGTAATTCAAATAATCTGAACAAAACAAAGGCATGAAATGTGCTTTGTTAAATGTATTTTATTCCTAAAATCTTTGTTCAGTGGGTAGGAACACTGTCTCTAAAATGGAAGCTCCTAGATTCAGATCCTGATTTTGACAGCTACTTACCCTTCCTGGCTCTAAATCAATCTCTGTAGAATACAGATTGAGAATAGCCCCTACACACAAATGAATATCACAGACATTATACAGAATAAAAGAAGCTGGAAACAGCAGAGTACAAATGATTTCATTTATCTGAAGGTCAAAAACAAGCAGTTATTGTGGCTGGGACCAAGCAACGGCTACCATTGGTATGAGAGAAGAATTTCCTACAAACAGGCACAAGAGAGCAATGTCCTTTGACTGGGGTGGTGCTTATATAGGACTGAGTATGATAAATTCAAAAAGGTGTATGTCAGAAATTTCTTACACCTCAGCAAAAATCAAATAAAAAGAAAATGCAACCAACCCAGTGGAATTATAAGCTTTAAAGGACCAAAAGTATGCAAAATGCCTAGTCTATGGTATTAGTCACCAGTCAGCTATGATTATAATGACTCTTTAGGGTGGGGAACAAAGGGAGGGGGTGGCTATTTGTGCATCCTATTTGATTTTTCTGCTTCCACCCTTATGGCTCAGGAGACCCTCAGGTGCTTGGGATTAAACCTGGGTTGACCTCATGCTAAGAAAAGGTACCCTCTGTACTATCTCTCTAGTTCTCTGATTACTTTTTACAAAAATGGAATTAGATGAATCTCCTCTTCTTTTTATCTCAGTTCTGAAATTTTCCATGACACTTCAAATTTCCTTCTCTTGCCTTTGCATATCTATATTGTTTTCTCTACATGTAAATGAAGGAATCAAAAGTTTTTTTTAAAAAAAAAAACCTAAGAGCAATGTTCTAATACTAAAGGAGTATTCAATATTAATACTCTCCCCCGCAATATCACTTAGTCATTGTTACTGTTGTTGCAACGACAGGAGTTGTCCTTGACACCATCCTGGCTGTGGTGCTTCCACATTATTTTGGGGTGGGGGGAGGGAAAGGGGGGACTTCTACTAGTGATCTGGGGGTCAAAGGCCACTCCCAGTAATATTTGTCCTGTTTTGTCAGTGGTTAAATGTGAGGGACCAAGAGCATTGTCCACAGTGCTAAAAGTGCTGAGATAACTGCAACAGTGCTTGGGAGGCCATGGGGTACCAGAGACGGGTGCTTTTACTTAAGTGCTATACTAACTCCCAGACCCATCTCCCCCATTTTTTATTGTGCATCTCACTGGTGACTGCACATCAGGCTGTAATGCCTCCATACTTAATCAAAGTGCTCACCAAGGCTTGCATTCCTTGAATTGTGCAGCTTTTATATGTTCACCAGGGCTTGCCTGGTTGAAGAACACAAGTTCTGGTTGTGGTGCCCACCAGGAATCCCAGTGGTGTTTCACATATGTACTTCCTAGGGGTCACACTTCCTGACTGTTCTGCTTACACATCTTTTCAGCTGCAATTCTTGCTTTGGGGGCACCCACATTTTTGTAGAACTCATACACACCTGTTTGTGGTGTAGAAAGAAATCACTCACAGCACAGGGACTCACAGATGGCAGAGCCACCAGGAACACACTCACTGCATGGCGGACACCAGGCCTTTGAATCTGTGACTGGACACTTACAGGCCAGGCAACCTTGGCTGCTATTAGGGGCTTCTCTTCTGGGCCATGAAGAGTATTTTTAAAGAAGTTAAGAGGGTGACCAAAATAAATATACTTGGAAATAACACTAAGCCACTGAAAACTAGCACAAAAAATCATCATCCAGTGGTTATTTGCAATAGATGAACAAGAGCTCATATGGATAATAAGTGGACACCAAATCTGTTTTTCCTTTTCGATTAGTTCTAAATTCTGGGGAAAGTTTAAACTGAAAGGGAAAAGTTCAAAGCAAGGCTTAACAAAATGATATCACTGAAATCTTTTTTTTCTTTTAAGAGCCATATTTCGTGATGTGAAAGGGTCTCTGTGGCTATCCCTGAGTTTTAGGATGGGGCAGTGCCTGGAATGGACAGTGATGAAGGCAGGACAGACTCGGGGCCACCACAACCACAAATGGCCCTCTGAGCATTACTTGGGGGTAGACATAATAATGCTGGGTACCAAACCCAGAACCTTGTACATACTCTACCACTTGAGCCCAATCCCTGACCCCTGAAAGCATTTATTTTTTTAAATAAAATATTGCTGAACCATTCCATCCCTACTGAACCAGCTGTCACTCTAAAATTTATCTTCAAGCTTCTTTGATTTGGTACAGTTTCCTAGATGTTACCCTCATGTCACATAGTTCTTATTTAAAACTTACCTTTATAAAAGCACTGCCAGTACCATTATCCGTGATGGTAAGACCAAGTGAATCTTCAGATTTATATACATTCACTTCTTTTTTAAGCCCTTTAACATGGGCAAATATGAAGTCATCAAGACCTAATTGTGATCCTAAGAGTTTTTCCATATCAACTTTAGGTGTGTTTAAAGTACAGTATAAGATCTGAAAAGAGAAGAGGAAATTATTCTAGGTCAGTATCTGATGAGGAAAACATTTTGGCCATTAATTTCACAAATATTTATCAAATAAAAGAATCCTCCATTTACAATACAGAGAGTTACATCAGAAAATTTATTGAATAATGGAATATTGGACATATTATTATACAGTAACATTAGATAACAAGTATTGAGAAATTTCTATAGACCAAGCTGTGCTAATTTACATTCATTTTGCATTGCAGTAGTTGAGGTAAGTAATTAGTGAATAAGGTATTAAAAATGAAAATGTCTAAATTGAACCCTGGTTGGAAAGATGGCTCAGAGAAATGCACATGTCTGGCATGCACAGGTCTCAGAATCAACTTCCAGGAACAAATGGCCCTCTGAGCATTACTTGGGGGTAGACTGCAGCATAGCTGGACGAGTATCACAGGGAATGGACCCAAGGCCTCTGAACACTGCTTGGATGATCAAAAATAATAAAGACAATTTGTAAATAAAGAAGGGGTCAGAGAGATAGCACGGTGGGGTAAGGTGTTTACCTTGCTTATAGCCAAACCTCATTTTATCCCCAGCACCACATAGGGTTCTCTAATCACTGCTATGAGTGACCTTTGATCACAGGCCAGAAATAGCCCCAAAGCACCAGAGTGCCCCCTCAAAAAATACATATAAAATAACCCAAAAAAGCTACGGTGCATGCTGTGTATGCTGGAGTGTCAATTCAAATGCTGGCACCATAAACACCCCCAGGTACCAAGTATGACCCCAAAGCCAAAAGAAAGTAAGTACTGTGGAACTTTGATTCAAAAAATGTCCCTTAGCAAGGGGTAGCTATCATCCCCAATTAAACATCATTCATTTGACGATCATAACTAGTTATTTTTTAAAAAAAATAAATAAAATAAAATGAACTTTAAAAAACATCCACTTCCTTATGTTTTAAGAAGGATCAGAGGATCACTTGCAGAGGTTGAGACAACTTGCTCAAATTCACACCATAGTAAAAAATAAATTAAAAAGAAACTGGAATGGTAGAAAGCTGTAGAGCTTTTAAAGGAACATACTTCTTATTTACCAAGTCTTTATTTAATACGATGAACTTACTAAAATATGTAGTATTAAGAGAAGAGCACAGAATTATCTCTCTCATATTTAGGGTATAATGAAACAGAGCAGTGCAATAACAAATGTTCGAAGGCAACAGAAACAGGAAACATGAGAAGTGGTATTCAGTAGGAAGCATGCCACTTGGGGATAGCAGGGGAATGGACAGAGAAAGGACCACTATAACAATGGAAGAGGGCAGTGTTCAACTGGGATAAAGAGAGAGTGTTGACTCCTGAAATTCATATGGAACAATCACTTAATCAATTAATCACTTAACTTCCCGTTAGTCATCGATTTGCTCGAGTGGGCGCCAGTAACGTCTCCATTTGTCCCTGTCGGGTGCTAGAGTAGCCCAATGGCATCTGTTCGCTCCGGGAACATGAAGAGCCTCAAACCGATCGTTCACGATCTTGACGAAGAAGTCTGACCATCTGGTAGGTGGGCGGCCACGCGGTCTTTTGACATCCCGTGGAATCCAGTCGGTAACAGCTCTAGTCCAGCGGTCGTCTTTAAATCTCATTACGTGACCAGCCCATCTGATTTTCGACACCTTGGCAAATGAGACAGCGTCCCTGATCGTTGATCATCGACGGATGTCAGAACTCCGGATTCTTTCTCTCATTTGAGTGAAACGTGATATTCCAAGCATAGCTCTTTCTATTCTTCTTTGGGAGACCTGAATAGCGTTCTTATCTTGTTTGCGTAGGGCCCAGGTCTCTGAGGCATATGTTAATGCAGGAAGAACAGTGGAATCAAAGAGATGTGCCCGGAGCCGGAGGTTCTTCGTCCTCTTAGCTATTTCTTCAACGTTCTTGAAGGCGTTCCAAGCCGCTCTCTTCCTCCTGCGCAGCTCGGGTGCCAGGTCATTTGTCATGTTGACCTCTCGACCTAGGTACACATAGCTGTTGCATTCGGAGATGGTCGTTCCGTTGAGAGTGAATGGGGCGTCAGGAATGAGGCTGTTTCTCATAAACATTGTCTTCGTAAGATTCAGCTGTAGTCCTACCTTTCCACACTCACGGTCAAAGTCGGCCAGCATTTGTGCCGTTTGGCTGATGTTTGGTGTTATTAAAACAATGTCATCAGCAAAGCGGAGGTGGTGTAGTTGCCGACCATCTATCTTCACTCCTTATATGGAACAATAAGCCCCACGAATAGCTAAAGCAATACTTGGGAAAAAGAAAATGGGAGGAATCAACCTCCCTAACTTCAAAATCTACTACAAAGCAGTAATAATTAAAACAGCATGGTACTGGAACAAAGGCAGAGCTGCAGACCAATGGAACAGGGTTGAATATACTGACATCTCCCCCCAAGTATATGATCATCTATCTTTGATAAAGGAGCAAGAAATGTGAAGTGGAGTAAGGAAAGCCTCTTTAACAAATTGCGCTGGCAAAACAGGACAACTAGATGCAAAAAAAAAAAAATGGACTCAGATATCTGCCTAACACCATGTACAAAAGTAAGATCAAAATGGATTAAAGACCTCAACATCAGACCGGAATCCATAAGGTACACCGAAGACAAAGTTGGCAAAACCCTTCATGACTTTGAAGCTAAAGGTATCTTCAAAGATGTCGCGCCACTGGCCAAGCAAGTGAAAACAGAGATAGACAAATGGGACTATCTTAAACTAAGAAGCTTCTGCACCTCAAAAGAAACAGTGACCAAAATACAAAGACAGTCTACAGAATGGGAAAGGATATTCGCCAAATACACATCTGACAAGGGGTTGATATCAAGGATATATAAAGTACTGGTTGAACTCCACAAGAAGAAAACATCCAACCCCATCAAAAATGGGGCAATGAAATGAACAGAAACTTTCTCAAAGAAGAAATCCGAATGGCAAAAAGGCACATGAGAAAATGCTCTACATCATTAATCATCAGGGAGATGCAGATCAAAACAACAATGAGATACCATCTCACACCTCAAAGAATGGGCCACATCCAAAGGAACAAAAGTAACCGGTGCTGGGGCGGATGTGGCAAGAAAGGGACCCTCCTTCACTGCTGGTGGTAATGCCAACTGGTTCAGCCCTTTTGGAAAACAGTACGGACGATTCTCAAAAAATTAGAAATTGAGCTCCCAGTTGACCCAGCAATACCGCTCCTGGGAATATATCTCAGAAAGGCAAAAAAGTATAGTCGAAGTGACATCTGCACTTGTTTGTTCATTGCAGCACTCTTTACAATAGCCAGAATCTGGAAAAAACCTGAGTGCCCAAGAATAGATGACTGACAGGTTAAAGAAACTTTGGTACATCTACACAATGGAGTACTATGTAGCTGTTAGAAAAGATGAAGTCATGAAATTTACATACAAGTGGTACTACATGGAAAGTATCATGCTAAGTGAAATGAGTCAGAAAGAGAGGGACAGACATAAAAAGATTGCATTCATCTGGGGGACACAAAGTAACAAAATAGGAGATTAATACCCAAGAATAGCCGAGATCAGTACCAGGAGGATTACTCCATGGCTTAGAGGCCAGCCGGGCATGCTAGGGGAAAGGGCAGCTCAGACAGAGAAGGGAGCACCAAATAAAGGGTGTTTGGAGGATCCTCCCAGGAGGGAAGATGCATGTTGAAAGTAGACTATGGACTGAACATGTTTGTCACTCAATGCCTCTTTTGCAGACCACAACACCCAAAAGGAGAGAGAGAGACAAAAGGGAATGCCCTGCCACAGAGGCAGGGTGAGATGGGGGAGATGGGGGTGGGAGGTATACTGGGATCCATGGTTGTGGAAAATGGGCACTGGTGGAGGGAAGGGTATTTTACATTGTATAATCGAAACCCAAACACAAAAATTTGTAAGTCTACAACTGTACCTTATGGTGTTTCACTAATAAAAATTTTTTAAAAAGAGAGTGTTGAAAGATAATAAAGTGCTATGCATGAAACTGTTCTGACAACAGTGCTGTAAACCAGTGTCAAAAGCTATTTAAAAAAAAACTCTCATAGAGGCAAGCAGGTAGGTGGGAGTGAAATGGGGGTGGCGGCAATTGGTGGAGGGAAAAGAACACTGGTGAAGGGATTGGTACCAAAACACTGTACTTCTGAAACCCAATCATTAATAACTTTGTAATTCATGTGTTCACAGAAAAAATAGCTAAGGGAAACTTTTTATTCATTGCCAAGTAAGGTTTGCTTACAGATAGCTAACCCTTCTACAAGCTTTGCTTCAGCCCTCAGTTTCAATCCTCACCCTGAATCCTGAGTTTTTATAACACTCCTGATTCCCACTGGCAGCTGATCTGGCTCAATCTCTGGTACTACATAGGATCCCCTAAGCACGCCAGGTATATATACACACATATATACACAGGAGTGATAGCACAGCGGGTAGGGCGTTCGCCTTACAAGCGGCCAACATGGCCGACCCGAGTTCGATTCCTCCGCCCCTCTCGGAGAGCCTGGCAAGCTACCGAGAGTATTCGATATGCCAGACACAGTAACAACAAAGTCTCCAATGGAGACGTTACTGGGCCCGCTCGAGCAAATCGACGATCAACGGGAGGGAAATATTTTATATTGTATATTTATATATAAATATATATCTATGTATATAAATCCTCGAGTTTCTAAAAAATATATTAGATATAGATATGTCCTCAAGTTCAGAAACAATATAATTGACATTTACTAAGTGTTTTAGGTCATAACAAATGTCTCCATTGTGAGTTTGAAGAGCCCTCCCCATCATGCTATCAAAGGTCCAGCAAAGTCAAAAAAGCTCTGACCCAACTGCAGAGGTAGATGAAAAGAGACAGTGATGAAGACAAATATTCACAGGGTACAAAAACAATGACACGCTATAAGAAAAAAAGTATCCTGCCCATTCTTCATTTCATCCAGGTCTGCAGTGAGAGGAGCTAATTAG